TATGATAGGGTTCCCTTAAAGGGTTCTTTTATAAGGGATCCATGATAGGGTTCCCTTTAAGGGTTCCTTTAAGGGATCTATGATAGGGTTCCCTTAAAGGGTTCCTTCAAGGGATCCATGATAGGGTTCCCTCAAAGGGTTCCTTTAACGGATCCATGATAGGGTTCATGTACAGGGTTCTTTTAAGGGGTCCCTGATAGGGTTCCCTTAGAGGGTTTCTTGAAAGGATCAAGAAAAGCTCCTTTAAGGCTTCATGGAGTTTTGATAAGGGGTTATTGACTCAGACCCCTTTCAAGAATCTAAACAACTCCTCCTGCCGCGAGTCGGGTTTTCGGCTTCAGGGTTTGAAGGGTTTGGGGTTTAGGGTTTAGGGGTTTAGTTTAGGGTTTAGGGTTTAGGGTTTAGGGTTTGGGGTTTAGGTTTGGGGTTTCGGGTTTCAGGGTGTTGGGCTTTTGGGTCTCAGGTCTCACTTAAAGTTTGGCGTTCAGGCTTCAGTTGATTGGGCTAAAGTGGTGGGAGCTGGAAGCTTTCAGAGCTTTTTGTGGCAGTGGGAGGTTGTTTTTCTTGGTCCGGTTCACCGGGTTTGCCGATGGAAGAGTTGAGGATCCCATGGGCATGCTGAACGAGATGATGAATGCCGCGCAGGCCCATTCACTGCTTACTTCCGTCGGTACAGGTGGCCTTTCCCGACATGCAACCCTCAACGTCTTGTGACCCCAAAGCTTGCTGAATGCTATCAGTGCATGTCGTGGCGCCCTCTCATGTTACGTTGCAATGGGTTACGTTGCAAAGCAGAGTCATTAGAGTCCGAACTTGCCCAGGCCTTGGAGATGCAAGAGTTGCAACGGAAGCAGGCGCGACGGTACCTGTAAGAAGCGAAACCAAAAGGACACCTGAGCCGCTTTTGTCTCGAAGGCTTCTTCATCGTTCAAGCCCGGACCCGAGCAGTCCGTCCATGTATGGAGAGGTTTGGGCGGGGCCCTTGTCGGCTTCAGTGGTTTGCAGGCAGTCGAATGCAACCTCATCTAGGGCAGTTGCACAATGATGGCAGTTTCGCTTGTTTGGACGCTGTCCCGCGTGCTCCGCACCTGAGAAGATCTGACACTCAGGGCCAAGAAGAAAAAGTTCAAGGTTTGGCCCCTGCACCCGGCTCACGAAATCTGGGAGACTCATGCGCTTAGGGGATCATGGGACTGTAAGATAACTCTACTTTAATTGTACTTATGATCACTTAGAGTCTCAATTGAGGTACTTAAACCGAATCACCTTACTAAGTCCCTCAACCCTAAACCTTGAGGTACTTAAACCGAATCACCTTACTAAGTCCCTAAACCCTAAACCATAAACCCTAAACTCAGTGACGTGGTCCTCCAAGTACTCCAAGCGAACACTCGAGGATGGGACCGATCTTGGCTGGAGAGGCTGTGAGCTTTTGCTGCGGGGCAGAGCAGCTGCGATGGTGAGTACATTTAGGGTTTGGGGTCTAAGGTTTAGGTTTTTTAGGGGGTTTCGGGCTCTAGGGTTTTAGGGTTTAGGGTCTGGACATCCAGAAGGATTTAAGAAATGGAACAAGAAGGGCTAGCTTAACCCACATGCCTGATACCTTGTTGGGAATTCTGTTCTTGGCGTTCTTCTGGTTGGCTCTTTAGACTTTAACTTTTTGGGCTTCTATATGAACTATAATAAGTAGGCTAAAAGTTTAAGTTTTAGGAGGGGTTCAGAAGTCAGCCAAGTGTTCTTCAATGTCCTTAGAGGGTCCGTGCTGACGAAATTCGGACTTGGAGGCTCAAGGGACTTAGAAAGTCATGGTATAAGTGGTTATACGAATTTCTAACTATGGCTACCTTGTTTATAACCCCAGTTTCGAAGTCCCATGGTCCTTTAAGTAGTATCTTACAGCCCTGATGCATGGAAGGTGCTTGTTTCTGGTTAATGTCGCATTGTGCAAGCCGTTTTCGAACCAGCCCTTTTGGCGCTTGGTGCTGAATTTGGGAGGCCAGTCACCAAGATTGTTATGCACAGACCCCCGAAGGATCTGAAAATAGAACCCGTATCGATCCCCTTGAAGGAGCTCTTATAGAACCCCAAACCGAAGAACCCGAAACCCTAAACCCCAAAACCCCAAAACCCTAAACCCCCAAAACCCTAGAACCTCAAGCCCTGCTCCCAGAGACTCCAACATCCCTTAATTAAGGAACATACCTTAAATTATAGTAGGGATCCCGAATATGATTTAAGGTATATTCCTTAATTAAGGGATATTGGAGTCTTTGGGCTCCCCCTTTTGGGGATGCAGGCCTCCGATTCAGCGGAGCTGGAGCGCTTGGCGAAGCAGGCATTCCATGACCGCCTGGGCTGATTCAGGGTTCCTGTACGGCTTCAAGTTAAAGGAAACTACTACGGGTGGGGAGTTTAGGATATATAGGGCTTCTATAAGGCTTCTATAAGGTATATAGACCTTCTATAAGGCTCCTATAACGGTAACTACCCACCTGAAAATGTCTTAGATTAAGGGCTCTTTTAAGGGCTCGTTTAAGGCATCTATAATGGTTCCTTCAAGGGATCTGCAAGGGTTGCTCTAAGGGTCCGAGGCTTCAGGTTTTTTTTGGGTTTAGGGTGCCAGGGTTCCATTTTAGGGATTTCTTGAAGGGTTCCTTTCAAGGAGGTTAAGGATTCCTCAAAAGGTTCCTCTGGGGCTAGAACAAGGGGTTCTATGTCCAGAGCCCTTCTGGGATCCAGAGAATACAGAATCCGAAAAAGGTAGCCTACCATTCTATGGGCTAAGATAGACGGTTGTGTAGGGGTTCAGTGTTTCAGATCCTTCCACTTGTGGGTGGGCTAAAGAAGGGTTTCAAAAAGGTTTTTATAGTGTTTCATAAATGTTTCTTATAGGATTTTAGTGAGAGTTTATGGTGCTTTGTAAAAGTTGTGTAAGTATTTTCGTAAGGTTTTTTGTAGGGGTGTAATGCAGGGGCCAGAACAATTGATGCGAGGACCGGGTGTAGTAGAATCCGGGCTTAGGCTATTAGGGGTCTAGACTTAGTCAAACAAGAGCCCAAAAAGCCATTGTGGTTGCTCCCAGACACGATAAAAATCCTCGGGTTGGGGCACATGACCATGTTCGGGCATGTGCACAGCTCCAGGAACTCCCGGCTCCAAAGAAGGTATCCCAGACCCCCAAAAGGATCTAAAAAATAGATCCACTAATTCGGGACCCCAACTACTAAAGGGTACTTTATAGGAACCCCCTTAGAGGATCTATTCTTTAGATCCCTTTTGGGGGTCTGGGAAGGTATTGGTCGGTTGGTCCTGTCCAGTGCATTGTAGGGCTGGGTTCTTCAGTTGTTGGTTGGGAGTTCTCTTAGAATTTCCATACATTGAGAGCTTCCCTGAAACGGGCACTACAAGGCGTTTGAAAATCTGCTGTTCAGTTTCCTTGATAGGAAGTAGCTTCTCCTCGTACGTTTTGCTGCGGACTCCTACTTTTGCAACATGTCTTGCGACAGCACGGTCCAATGGTGCATAACTCCCCGCGCCACGCCGGCAGGTTCCGGGGACGGTGGTTTTTTCACACAACGCATCTTGACCTAAGTCTGCACTTGTCCCCACTCAATTGCCGGTTTCTCGTCCGACAGCAAGTGTTTACGTGTTGGACTAGGCTGTCCCACAGTGTGGCAGGTCAAGGAAGCGGCGGAGCAGGCCGCGGCTTAGGGATCTGTTTGCTAGGGAGGGTTAGGGTTTAAGGTTTAGGGGTTTAGGGTTTAGGGTTTAGAGATCATGCTTTTTGAGGGCGTTCTCTGCTAGCTGCTGGGTTTAGACCGCATCGTGACTGCAAGTTGGAGACACCACACACGGCGTCACACACAGGCTCGTGCTGCAACGGTCGCCGGCGGTGTGGCCGTGGTATCTTGCCGGAATTAGATGCTGCAACATCGAAGCATGGGAGGAAGCTGCTACTCCAAGTTTCCCGGCATAAGATCTTTCACTCCGCCCTCCCGTGTCCTGCACACTTCGGCTTCGAAGGTTTGGGTCAAAGTACTCGATCACCTGAGGTGGATGCAGCCGCCAGTTCCAGCAAAAATGCAGAGGGCCCAGTGGATCTGACGGAGACAGCTTTCCCTCAGCATCAAAAGAGCCCAAAAGCCTTATATAATAGGGTCTTGGGGCCCGAAAGCCTTAAAATATGAGTCCTCAGAGTCCTAGGGTTTTGGGTTTGCGACAGTCGGCACGTATCCTACATGTTGATCTATAGTCGATTGTGGTTCTTACGGTGTCGGTCAACGCAGGCTTCGCATCTGCACCAGGGTAGTCCTGAAAAGTAGGGTCCCTTTTCGGGGTCCCCAAAATAGTACGGCAACCTTATAACAAGGACCCTTAAAACGGCCCCCGATTTAGATAACTACCTGCAAGTTCAGACAGGATGCTCAAAGCCAAAGTCCGTCCCAGGGTCTAGGGCTTTAGGGTTTTAGGGAGAAGGGCTTAGGATTTAGGGTTTTGGGTTTTAGGGTTAAGTTAGGTTTTTTGGGGTTTAGGATTTAGGATTTTAGGGTTTAGGGTTTCCACTGCCCCCTACCATTTCAAAGTCAAGATCCCAAGACTCCTCGAGATTCCCCAAAAATCCCCGAACCCTGAATCCTCCCATAAGACCCTTGTAGCAACCCTTAGAGTACCCGTATAGTACCCCATTTAAAGGAAGCCCGAAGGCCCTTATAGTACCCTTTTAAAGGAAACCCTGAGGCCCTTAGAGTACCCTTTTAAAGGAAAACCCCCTTTAAAAGGAAGCCCTAAGGCCCTTCTAGTATCCCTTTAAACGGAAACCAGAAGGCCCTTCTAGTTTGTAGTGCACCTTTAAAGACGAGGCCAAGCTTCGACAAAAGCTTCCTAGACCTGAGGTGGCTCTAAACCCAAACGCCCCAAAGAGATTTGCATGGCCGCTTAAAGGTTTAGGGTTTTTGGAGCCTAAACCCTACACGCTTACCCTAAACCCGAACCCCTAAACCCCTAAACCCTAAACCCTAAAAAAAAAAACTTTAAACCCTAAACCCAAAGGAACCCAAGGATCTTCTTCTTACACCCCTCCAAGAAGCCCAAGCCGCTGAGGTGGCTCAGGCCTTCGCCGAAGAAGAGGAGCCGCGGCCGGCCCAGCCCCTGAAAATCGGGGGGGAAGGGGGTTTAGGGTTTATGAGTTTAGGGGTTTCGAGGTTTCGAGGTTTAGGGTTTAGGGTTTGGGGTTTAGGGTTTGGGGTTCAGGGTTTTAGGGTCTAGGGTTTAGGGTTTAGGGCTCAGGGCTTAGGCCGGGACGTGGCCTTCCGTTTAGTATCGGGGCCTTTTTAGTTAGAATAGGGGCTTTTGGGGCTCCTTTCAAAGGGTTCCTTAAAGGGTTTCATAAGGGCTACTATCCGGGTTGGACGTTTAGGGGGCCTGCACACTTAGAATACGGCTTTGGGGCCCATGATACTATAAATCAAATAAGGAGCCGTAGTATTGGTAACTATTTAGGCCCCTAGATTAGGTTTTAAATTTAGGGTTTCGTATGTCGTGTCCATGGAAGTTTTTGTCGGAGATCGGTGCTTAAGGACTTACAGTGCTGTAGGGTATTGAGGGTGTCTATGCTTTCTTGGAAGCTCCAACAGCACTTTCGCAGCGGTCTCGGAAGTAGTGGATGCTTCCCTTGAACTTCACCCTAAACCCTGAATCCTAAACCCTAAACCGTTTTAAAAGACTTGGTGTATACAGGAGCGCGAGGCTTCGGGCTGGGCTTGCGCGCCTTCCTGTGGATTGGTAGTGACGAGATTCTTTAGGGTTTAGGGTTTAGGGTTCCGTGCTGTAGTCTTCGGTCATCTCAAAGGATTGAAGCAGACCTTATTAAGTGAAATATGGTGTACGTGAGTCTTGGTTGCCGTATTGTGCACGTTGCTCACAACAGAATGCTCATAGTCGTGGTCGTCGTAGTGATGGTGATAGTGCTGGAGGTTGCGATGATTCTGGTGCTGAGGCAGCACGAACAGCACGTGCTTCGCGAATATGACATAAAAACATAAAGTGCGGACCAAGTCTTATCTTCACCGCTGATTGACTGCAAAAGGTCCGGCTCAAGAAAACCTGAGGCTTCAACAAACGTGCACCCCTGAGCTGTTCAACAAACTCGTCTCCAGCTTGAAGCCGCCCCTTTCGGGACTTCGGCTTTAGGGGTTCAGGAGCTAAAGCATATCATGTTGTAGTAATTCTGTCATATTATACTATCTCCTTTTCAGGAGCTCAGACACATCATACTGTAAATAGCAACTCTGTCCTCTCATAAGATTTCCTTTTCAGCAGCTACAACATATTCTTTTACTGTTATACCATAGCATGTCCTTTTCTGTTTTAGCAGTTCCGGGTTGAACGGCTGGGCCTGGGCGTGAAGCCCTAAACCCTCAACCCTAAACCCTAAACTCTAAGCCTTCAACCCTAATCACTAAACTCTCAACCCTGAACCCTACACTCTAAACCCCAAACCCCTAAACTACAAAACCCTACACCCCTAAACTACAAAACCCTAAACCCCTAAACTACAAAACCCTAAACCGCTACACTACAAAACCCCAAAACTACAAAACCCCTCAACCCCTAAACTCCAAAACCCTACAAACCCTAAACCCTAAACCCTACAAACCCTAAACCCGACAAAACCCCTAAACCCTACAAACCCTGTGAAGCCCTTGCCCAGGCCCTCGGCCAGACCCTGAGCTCCCTACTGACAGGCTACGGCGCTCGGGGGGTTGGGGTTTGGGGGGTTAAGGGTTTAGGATTAAGAGGTTTAGGGGTTTAGGGGTGTAGAGTTTAGGGTCTGGGGGTTTAGGGGTTTAGGGGATGAGGGGTTTAGGATTAAGGGATTTAGGGTTTGGGGTTTAGAGTTGAGGGTTTGGGGTTTAGAGTTGAGGGTTTCAGGTTTAGGGTTTAGGTTTTATAGGTGTTATGGCCCCTTGTGGCTCTCTAGTTTGTTGGAGCTTTAGGTTTGGGGACGATATTATTCACGTGCCTAGGTCTGACACACTTTTCCCCCGCGGCGCTGCTTGGTTCCCAAACCCTAAACCCTGAACCTGAAACCCGCAACTCTAAGCCCTAACGTTTAACTCTCAACTCAGAAAACCCTAAACCCTAACCCTCAGCTCTAAACCCTAAATTACTTAAACCCCCACCCCCCAAACCGCGCCGTATCCCGGAAGTGCGAGGCCGCGAGAAAGCGGCTGTCAGCAGCGACTCCGGCCTGGCTTTGCCCACCACCTTGGACAAGGTGCCACGGTTTAGGGTTTAGGGATTAGGGATTAGGGTTTAGGTTTAGGGGTTCAGAGCTTAGGGTTTAGAGTTTAGGGGTTAGGGGTTTAGGGTTTAGGGTTTAGGGTCTTTGTTGCCCTAAGC